CTGCAGAAAGGAGCCTGACTGAGTGAATTATTCATCTTCCACAATCTGAGCTCAAACATAGATATAAAATAAGAGCTGTCACAGATTGGGCAGCTTCGTTTCAGCTGCTGTGAGTGACAAAATGCCACCCATATCGGTACTTGGAGCGATCCAGATGCTGGAATTAGCGAGGATGGAATAACAATGGAATCCACAGGCAGCTGTCACAGCTTCTCTGGCTCTGCAGCACCTCACCTTTGAGGGTGGCTGACGTCTGCAAGGTCTTTGGCTCATGCTGGTGGATGGTTTTGAAGATGTCTGGGTCGGCATTGAAGCGCTCCCGGTCGTTCTGCCAGAAGTTCCCTGGAGACAGCAGCAGGCAGCCGTGCTCTGGGAGCAGGTTCCGCAGCTTCTTGAGGCCAGGCAGGAGATCTGTGACCTGCAGGCAAAGCTCCTCCAAGCTCCTGACTCCAGAACTGAAAGGCAAACAGGGGGGAGTGGGACCCAGACTGCCCCGCGTGTGTTTAACTCTCCCTAAGGAAAGGCAAAGCTGCTCAGACGGACACTTCAGGGACCTTCCTCGCTGTGTCGCTGCTCCTCTTCCTCACAGCTGAGGGCCAGGAACCTGCTTCTCCCTGGAACTGTGCACAGGCTCCAGAATTCCATCCCCACCCCTCTGGGTGCTGCCTGCCCACACAGCTCTCACTGCCTGCCCATCCTCAGCGACACAATTCCCACTCGCACATTCTCCACTCAACTGAGAGTCTGTCTCCCTGGAATTCTCCTTCCAAGTCCTCAGAGCCCTCTGCACTCCCCTCTGCACACACAGAACGGGATGTGCTACAGGAATCCCAGCCCTCCCAAAGTGGATCCCCTGAGGTGCTCAGAGTCCCCAGAGCGTGCCAAGGACTCCTGTCCCACCTGGCTGTGCTGGCTTCCAACTGCCCTGCTTTGCGTGGAGAGCAGAACTTCTGAGCCTCAGGGCTTCAGAAATCCACACAGCTGTAACTGGTATGAACTGGGACCTGTGTTTGCTCCCAAACTTCCTTTGCCACAGTGACAGAATCCTTATCAACCCCCGATTCAAGCAAAACTCAGCTTGGGATTGCACGAGGACCTGGTGTGAAGGGTCAGGGACAGAACCAACTGTTGGACAGACACGGAGGAGCTGCTGGTCCAGAAGAGACAATTCCCTTCTTGGGATACAGAAACTGGTGGGATCTGCTCAGGAAAGGTGTATTTAGCAGAAGTGAAGAACAGAGACCAGTCCCTGCTGGCTCCGGCCTCGCGGCTCACAGGAAGGTGGTTCCAGAGGAGAGTTTTTCTACAGTAACTACGAAGAGCAAACCCAGAAATTATTAAATGATGATTTGGCTTTGTGAGCACTCCCTCTAGAACCTATTTCCAGTGGCTGTCTGGCACTGGAAAAGTCACAGCTACCAAAAGACTGGAAAATGCACCTGAAAAGAGGTGTTTGTAGGGACAAAAGCTTTGGGAAGGACAATGTAAAGGGACTGAAGCAGTGATGCCTTTGGCAGCAGCTCCAAGGAAGAGCCAGCTGACCATATGTAAAGTGATAGATAAGGCCACAAAAAAGAAGAAAACAGCCCTCCTGATGGTTTCCTGGAAAATCTCAGCTCCTGGGGAGACATTCCCAGAAACTGATAAAAGGATTAAAAGGAAGAAATGGGGATAACTGGACCCTTGGGCCTATTTCATCTGTCTGTCACCCCAAAATTAGTTTGCTGACTACAACCACTCAAACTGCCTAAGGAAAATGGTATAAAAAGATAAAAAGAGATTGGACCCAAGCAGAAATCCTGGAGAAGTTCCACCCCCGCTGCAGAGGGAACTGCCTGGCTGCCCTGGGCTGAGATATTCTCCAGACACAGACACTGAGTTTACTCGTGCTCCACAGCACTTCAACATTTTCACTCATTGCTTCACTGTCAGTTGCTTTTGCTCCATGGGGTGTACTTGAGTTTTTTGCTTTGCTGATTCTGTGTAAGCTGTTCTGCTTCCCTGGAAGTTGCTTTTCCTTTGGCGTGTGAGCCCACACTTTGTGTTATAATTATTATCATCACTACAGAGTTTCTAAGTCCGCTGTTTTTGCAGTCAGACCCTGTTCCAGACACGATGAACCCCACTAACTGTCACAAATTTGTATTAATAACGGTGTTATTTAGTGAACTGTTGGAGTGAGGCTGTTTTTAGGTGCTGGCAGTTTAATTGACGGGGAAATAACTCCCAGGAAAACCTGCTGAGGGGGTTTCCTACTGCTGTTTGGTGCAGTTCTTATACAGGAGGATAAAATCAAATGTCCTGTCCTCTCAGGGAATCTGTTCAGCAAAGGTGAGGTGACAACAGACTGTTTTGGACATTAACAGGCTTTGATCTCCTGGGGGACACTGACAGACACTGATAAATTAATACAGGGTGGGCAGAAAGTTCTTATTTTCTGCCCCTTTTAAGGTGACAGGAAACGGCACCAGGAAAGCGGGGTGTCGTGAATATTGTGCTGCAAAAATGCAAATTTACTGAAATGCTTTAAAAAGCTGAAGTTCTGAAATGCTGGGACCACCTTAAAACTCCACCTGCGAACCCCAGAGAGCAACTACTGCTAAAAGAAAAGACTCCTGTTGGAGTCAAACAGCCCCAAAAGTCTGTAACTCACCCAGAGATGGGAATCTGGAAAGGACATAGTTGCTGTGATAATAGAAAACTCTAATTCTACTGAAAATCAGAATTGCTGTTTTGCACAATGATTCCTGCTCTCCAACAGAGGAAGCAAAAATGCAAGAAAATACAGAGAAACTGGGATTTCAATTCCAACAACAAAGTGCGTTTTGTGCACAACAGAAATCTACAATTTCCCCTGTTCCTGAACTGATGGGTGATGCTGAATGTGTGGGTTGGAAATCAGAAAGCAAAGTATTAAAGTTATCGTTATCCTGTAAGAGGGAAACAGGAGAAAAACCCACAACTCCAGTTTCCCACCTGGTTGCTAAAAACAAGCTGCTTGGAGGCGAAGGGAACAACCTGGAGTTTTCCCTGGCCCAGCAGCCCTGGAACAAAAGGAGCTGCAGGTAAATGAGGCGTTAACTGCTAAAAAAAAACCAAAACTCTTCAAGTTTTCCTGTGTTAGAGTTTTCCTCCCTCTCCAGGAGTGCAACACCCCCAGCACAGAGAGAGCAGTGAAGAGACTGCCAGAGAACTTCTCTTGAATGTTTAACTCCTGTGACAGGCACAGCAACCAACTCAACGCTCTAGAAATTATTTCTTGGTTTGTTTTTTTTTTTAATGATTGATTTATAGTAGGATGAATTTTTCTAAGCGATTAAAAACTACTTTTAAATGATTAGTTTATTAATTCTTGTGATGTGTTTGCGTTTTCACCGAGAAACACTTGTTGGAAGACCAACTATTAACCAACTTATATAAACCAAACCATGTTATGTACTGTTAGTACACATTTTAAGAAGTTTTTTCCTCTTTATTAAATAAGAGAACAGGGTGGAAAAACCTTTCACCTGATGAAAATGTAACTTTATTCCAATCAAATAAAAATTTTAAAATTCAACCAAATATGACTTGGAAGCAGATACCAAGATTTATGCATATCTGAAGTTATATAAATATGGATTAATTTTTCCAGTTCTTCCTCAGGTAACTAATTTTTTTTCTTCCTTCCTTAACCAAAAGGAAAGACAACTACGGGATGCAAATATGACCTGCAAATAAAATACAAAAATCCTATAACCATTTTTTAAAAAAAGAAAATACTTATATTTTTGTACTTTTTATCTCCCTTCTCTTATCTAAGCTAATCAATCCTTGTTAACAGAACGTGATAACAGCGATTTATCCACTGGGGAAAAAAAAAAAAAAAAGAGGGAAAAACAAGTTTAACAATCCGTGCTTGCACCTTGTTTATAACAGAAATAAGGTATAAAACTGTCGTTTAATCTTAGAAAATTGATGTGTGAGGGGGTGGTCAGAAATAAGAAATGTGTCCTTCTAAAGGCCCACTCTAAGACCTTAAATCATCTTATCCGTGAGCTGCTTTATGCTGATGATGCCGCTCTCGTCGCCCACACAGAAGTAGCTCTGCAGCGTTTAACATCCTGCTTTGCAGAGGCTGCTGAGCTTTTTGGTCTGGAAGTCAGCTTGAAGAAGACAGAAGTTTTATATCAGCCTGCACCTCAGGAA